TGGCGGGGTTTTGGCAGGGCTCTTTGGGGGTGCCTTGGCCTCAGTGGGGGTAGATGGAGCTGGGGTGGCTTTGACAGGGCTCTTTGGGGGTGCCTTGGCCTCAGCAGGACTTTTTGAGGGTCCTTTGGCTGCAGAAGGGGCAGCTGGGGTGCCTTTGACAGGGCTTTTTGGGGGTGTTTTGGCTGCTGGGGGGGCACTAGGAGATGGGGTGGCTGTAACAGGGTCCTTGGAAGGCACTTGGGCAGGAACCAGAGGTGTTTTGGCCTCTGCAGGGGCTGCTGGAGCTGGGGTGGCTTTGCCAGGGCTCTTTGGGGGTGTTTTGGCCTCAGCTGCAGGGGTTGGGGTGGCTTTGCCAGGGCTCTTTGGGGGTGTTTTGGCCGCGGGAGGTGGGGTGGCTGTGACAGGGCTTTCTGGGGGTGCTTTGACCTCAGCAGGGGCAGCTGAAGGTGCTGGAGCCACAGGAGCAGATGGGGAAGTGATGGGGCTGCCCTTGGGAGACTTTTTGGCTGCTCCAGGAGAAGCTGGAGTTGGGGTGCCTTTGACAGGGCTCTTTGGGGGTGCCTTGGCCTCAGTGGGGGTAGATGGAGTTGGGGTGGCTTTGACAGGGCTCTTTGGGGGTGCCTTGGCCTCAGTGGGGGTGGCTGGAGCTGGGGTGGCTTTGACAGGGCTCTTTGGGGGTGCTTTGGCCTCAGTGGGGGTGGCTGGAGTTGGGGTGGCTTTGACAGGGCTCTTTGGGGGTGCTTTGTCCTCAGTGGGGATAGATGGAGTTGGGGTGGCTTTGACAGGGCTCTTAGGGGGTGCCTTGGCCTCAGTGGGGATAGATGGAGTTGGGGTGGCTTTGACAGGGCTCTTTGGGGGTGCCTTGTCCTCAGTGGGGGTGGCTGGAGTTGGGGTGGCTTTGACAGGGCTCTTTGGGGGTGTTTTGGCTGCTGGTGGCGCAGCTGGAGCTGCAGGAGTTGCGGTGGCAGGGGACAAGGGAGCAGCAACAGGGCTCTTGGGAGCAGTTTTGGCTGCAGGTGGGGTGGCTGGAGCTGCGGTGGGGAGAACTGGAGTGCCAGCAACAGAGCCCTTGGGAGCATCTTTGGCTGAGGGAGGGGCAGCTGGAGAGGGTGGAGCTGCCGTGGCCGGTGTGACAGGAGGAAAGGGGGCAGTGACCGGGCTCCCAGGAGCTGGTTTGGCCACAGGAGAGGTGGCTGGAGCTGCCATGGCCGGTGTGACAGGAGAGGGGACAGCTGGGGCAGTGACCGGGCTCCCAGGAGCTGGTTTGGCCACAGGAGAGGTGGCTGGAGCTGCCATGGCCGGTGTGACAGGAGAGGGGACAGCTGGGGCAGTGACCGGGCTCCCAGGAGCTGGTTTGGCCACAGGAGAGGTGGCTGGAGCTGCCATGGCCGGTGTGACAGGAGAGGGGACAGCTGGGGCAGTGACCGGGCTCCCAGGAGCTGGTTTGGCCACAGGAGAGGTGGCTGGAGCTGCCATGGCCGGTGTGACAGGAGAGGGGACAGCTGGGGCAGTGACCGGGCTCCCAGGAGCTGGTTTGGCCACAGGAGAGGTGGCTGGAGCTGCCATGGCCGGTGTGACAGGAGAGGGGACAGCTGGGGCAGTGACCGGGCTCCCAGGAGCTGGTTTGGCCACAGGAGAGGTGGCTGGAGCTGCCATGGCCGGTGTGACAGGAGAGGGGACAGCTGGGGCAGTGACCGGGCTCCCAGGAGCTGGTTTGGCCACAGGAGAGGTGGCTGGAGCTGCCATGGCCGGTGTGACAGGAGAGGGGACAGCTGGGGCAGTGACCGGGCTCCCAAGAGCTGGTTTGGCCACAGGAGGGATGGCCAGTGTGACAGGGGGACAGCTGGCAGAGG